AATTTAACTAAAGAGCTTCTGCACTGCGAAAGAAACTATCAGCAGTGTAAGCAAACAACCTACAGAATGGGAGAAAATACTTGCAAACTATGCATCCAACAAAGGTTTAATATCCAGAATCTAAAAGGAACTTAAACAAATTAATAAGCAAAAAGCAAACAACTTCATTTAAAAAATGGACAAAGGATGCAAATAGGCACTTTTCAAAAGAAGACATACATGTGGCCAACAAGCATATGAAAAATGCTCAACATCACTGATTACTAGACAAATGCAAACCAAAACCACAATGAGATGGTTATCTCACACCAGTCAGAATGGCTATTAAAAATCAAAAAATAATAATAAATGACAGATGTTGGAGAGGTTGCAGAGAAAAGGGAACATTTATACACTGCTGATGAGAATGTACATTATTTGAACCATTGTGAATAGCAATTTGGTGATTTCTCAAAGAACTTAGAACTACCATTTGACCCAGCAACCCCATGATTGCGTGTATGCCCAAAGGAATATAAATTGTTCTGCCATAAAGATGCATGTGTATTGTCATTGCAGCACCATTCACAATAGCAAAAACATGGAGTCAATCTAAGTGCCCATCAATGGTAGACTGAATAAAAGAATGTGGTACATATACACCACGGAATACTATGCAGCCAAAAAAAAGAATGAGAGTATGTCCTTTGCAGCAACATAGATGGAGCTGGAGGCCATTATCTTAAGTGAACTAACACAGAAACAGAAAACCACATGCTGCATGTTCTCACTTATAAATAGAAGTTAAACATGGAGTACACATTGACACAAAGAATGGAAGAACAGACATCAAGGCCTACTTGCGGGTGGAAGATGGGGGAAAGGTGAAGATTGAAAAACTACCTATTGGGTACTATGCTTATCTGAGTGACAAAATAATCTGTATATCAAACCCCCATGACACAGTTTACCTATATAACAAACCTGCACATGTACCCTTGAACCTAAAATAATAATTAAAAAAATAAATTTAGAACAATTTACACATACACACACAAAGTTTTCAAACCTGAACATAATATCATTATCATACAAACTAATAAAATTATGGGTAATTCTCTAACATCATCTTACATCCAGTCTATATTCACATTTTTCCAATTGTTCCAAAAATGGTTTTTGTAGCTGATTCATTCAAATCAGAACTCAATCCAAGGATCACATATTGCATTTAGCTGTTATGTCTCTTAAATCCCTTTTAATCCAGAAGAACCCCCTCATTTCTTTCTTTTTAGGTTAATCATTTTTTGACAAGAATACTTCATAGGTGACACTACCTATTTCATATTGCACCATATGGGGATGCAAATGTGGAGTCACTATTAGTAATGCTATGTTTGATCACTGTCATTCTCACTCTTGAGTAATAGTTGAGATGGGTATAAAATTCTGAATCTGCAAGTCTTTTTCCCTCTGCTCTTCAGCCATTGTTTCTTCTGGTCTACACTGATGCTGCTGCAAAATCTGCTGCTGTCATTTAATTGTTGCTCCTTGTAAATGCTTTTCCTTTACTCTTGATATGTTTTTGAGATTTCCTATCTGTCTTTGCTATTCACTATGATGCACTTAATTGTAGATTAATTTTCATTTACCTCAGGATTCATTGTGCTTTGAATCTGAGGATTCATACATTTCATTAATTCTGAAAAGTTATCTGCCATCAGCATATACATTTTAGCCATACTCTTGCATTCTCTCTATTCCTGGAGACATTATTATATATACATTCAACCTTCTCGTTATATCTTCCATGTTCTCCAACTCTTTTTTTTCCTGTCACTTTATCTCACTGTACATTGCAGGTGCTTTCTTCTGCTCCATCTTGAGGTTCACAGAGCCTTTCCTTAGCTCTGTCTCTTATTCTGTTCAACTCATCTATTAGATTTTTAATTTCAGTAACCTTTATTTTTCATTTTCAGAAATTCTACTTGTTTCTTTTTTAACTGTATCTGCTATGTTTTTACATACTGTCACATTTTTTAATTGTAACTTATACTTCTTTTATTGATTTAACTATTTTAAATTTGTTAACAGTCTTAGTTGTCTTATAACCTCATGTTCTTAGGGTGCTTATATTTTATTTATGTGTTTGTTTTTTTTTTTTTGCTGACTCTTCCTCATGGTGAATCATGTCCTCATATGGCTTGTAATTGTCTTTTAATTGTGAAGTCATCTTCAATAGCCTTTCTTAGATGGTTGCATGGGAGTCTTTTTCACCCTGGAGTGTGGCAGTATTGCTACAGAGGAGTTTTGTCTTTTATGTATAATTTTATGCCTTGTAGAATTCTTATATCATACATATAGTGTATATTTAGACTCCAAATGACTTTGATTTCTTATAAAGGACTTTTTATTTATGACCCAGAGTTTGGGGAAAAGAGAAGAGGATACTTGCCACTCTCCTGGACTTATGGCAAAGTTGTCCACTACCCTTTTGCATTCTTACAAGGTATCGACTTTATGCAAAGATCTGTTTCAGCTCTCTTATTTTATGAGGGACCAAGACCATCTTTTCTGACTTCACATCCACACTCAAACTCTAACCCCTAACTACTAAGGCCTATCTATAGTCTTTCTGACAGAAGTCTCAATGTTGCAGCATCAATTCATGAGTTTATTATTCAAACTTCACTTTTAATTTGAGCCTGGCACCTCAGGAGTTTCATTTCTTTCATTTCCAGCCTGTGCTAATTTTTGTATTATTGTATTACCGTAATTCCCTGAACTTTCTAGGCATACTCTTATTGCCTACCTAATTTATTGTCTTCCTGTCTGGGCTGTAAGCACTTTGAGGTCATAATCTATGACAGATTCAACCCCATATTCCCCAAGTTTAACAAAGTTCTTGGCTGATAATGGGTGCTCAATAAATATATTTTTAATGTCTGAATGAATAAATTCAATTGTAGTTGTAAAGTGTAATGTTCTCCTAGACATGAATTTACAATTAGTATTTTCTTTTGTGAATATTTATCATTATTCCACTTTGACCCATTGTATTGTAGAGCCTGGATTTTGACTTCAAATGTTTGCATCTGTTCTTTCTATGTTTTAAAGGAAAACATTTTTTTCTATATTTTAGAAGAAAACATTTTTTATGTACATTCCCTTGCTTTCTTTTATATGTTTTCCTATTATTTGTAGTATATTAAAATATAACAGTTAATTCCATTTGGTCTAAAAAGTAAATAATAAAAAGTTTTTCTGTCTGTAAAGGAAAAAATCTGTGAATACACAGATCTCACAAAATCTCAAGAACAGGAAATGGAGACCAGCAAGTCTGCTATAAACTGGAACCAGGAATAAATTCAGGAACTGAGGGACTCACTCTATCTGAGGGGCCATGTGATGTCTTTCATCCAGGACTCTCTGCATGAGCCTTCTTTAGGCTCCCATTGAGAGGATTCCTTCACTTTCTGAATATGCATACCCTATCAGAGTCACCCAAGTCCTGAATCTATAAGCCTTTGCAAGTTTCAGTATCAACTACAGATGGGAAGAAGACTGCTCCTTTTGCTTCAAGTTTTGTAGAATCACAGTTTAATTGGCTCAGCATAGCTTATGGAAGACCTACAGACCCTGCTCTACGCCATAAGTCAGGTGACCATTTTTGGTCTAGTCAACTCTGGGGGAGGAAGTGTGTTGGGTTCCCTGGCCTGCTGCCTACTCAGCAGGGTACAGACATAGGGAGATCCTGTCTAGAATGATTTCCCAGAACATTTATGATACCTGAAACAAGTTGAGGCATGCACACCTAAAACATGAGGGATTAATATGGGTTTACAGAATAAATAAGTGAGCTTATTTATTCTGTAAATAAGAGCTAGAGGGGTTAATATGGGTTTACAGAATAAATAAGTGATTGAATGAATGAAGATACATATGGGGGTGATTCAGCAAGAATTCTAAAGGAAAATCAGCCCTTTTCCCAAGCATCATCAACAAGGCATGACTTCATCTGAATTAAAACACCAACTTAACCTCATCCACTCCTGGGACCCTAAGCACATCCACCCCAAAACTTCCAAGCACCTGTTCTTATAAAGCTAGAATGAGACATAAGCCATAGAATCAGAGACTATTTAAGAGGATAGTACCCTAGAGGCTATTATGAGGCTTATTTCCTTTTGCTTCATATCTTTGTTATTTGTGTAAATGTCTGTCTCCCCCAGTAAATGTTAGACTCCTTGAATGCCAGAAATGTGTCCCACATGACATCTATGTTTCCAAAGCACCAAATATGTTGTCTTGCTCATATAATTGCCTGGCTTCAAATCCTAGTCTACCACTACTGGTTATGTAACTTTAGTCACTCCACCTCAGATTCCTCATCTGTATATAATGGATAATAATAGTACCTACCTCATAAAGTTGTCATGAGGATTAAATAGCTAATAGTGGCAAATAATTTAAACAGTTCCTGGGACAATAGTAAGCTTGTAATCAATGTCAGCCACCACTAATAGGTGTTGTTTTTAGACTGAGTTGACCTTTCAAAGACTCCTGAGACATCTGTTGACTGATCTTTGCATTGGCATTGTTGTTTATCTACCTTATGTGGGCCAGCTGTGAATGTACAACCTCATGGACCCTACTGGCATCTAGAGGTCACTGTTGAGGACAGAAGCTGTGTCCAGTCAGAATCGAGTTTCAGGCAAAGTTTTGTCACTGGGTCTTGACCCTAGTACACTGTCTTAGGACCGAGGTCCTTTCTCATCTAAGAATGCCCCTTCATGTTGCCTGGAAGCTGTGAAGTCCCCTCTACATAGGCACTTGTACACACCTGCACACACACACATTCACAACCTGGAGCACACAGCCTGATGCCTGCCCTTGCTCTTGTCATTCTTGCTGAGTCCCGGTTCCCCAGGACCTCTTTTTCCCTGTTCCCTTCCACCCCTCCACCCTCCCATTAACAATCTTACATCTCTTGATTCTCCTCTCTCTCTCTGCCTTCCCAGGTGACAAATAACTCCCTTGGTGGAACTTCCACATGAATAAGAAAGAGAAGAGGACTTTTCTTCCCCCTGCCAAGTTATATGTGTGCACTTTTACAAGAGCTATGGGAAGATACCCTGCCTTTATCTTATTCAAATGAATGAATCCAATGATGTGCATCTGTCTTAGTTTGTTTCTTCTGGAGTCAGAACCTGAGATCTAGAATTGCATGCAGGGCGTTCAAGAGGTGATCCCAGGATCCCAAAGAGAAGGGACATGAAGGAGACAAAAAGGAGGGAATATCCAATACAATAGAAGTGTGTTTTAGGGTTGCTTCCACAGGAATCAGGATTTGACCCTGCTAGGACATCCTGGGAAGTATGTAGAATGCTTCTGGACTTGTCCACCTGAAATAAAGGAGGCAAGAGCATTTATCCCTGGCTCTTGTCCTGCATTGATTGAAGATTTCCCCTTCAGGTGTTAACCTTGCACTTCTGGGTTGTACTTGTGCACTAGCCAAGAGTGCTATTTCAGCCTGGAGTAGAAAAATGGAAAGACTAGAGGTCTGTACATGAGGTGGAATGCTGCCAGTTGGAGGTGAGTCTGAGCTTCAGCCTCTAGCTGAAGCTTGCCAGAGGATGCAGTTCTGTACACCAGAGTGTCTGAAACCACATTGCAGTCCAGGCGAAAGATATGTGAGTACAGGCATCAGAGAAGCAGTGGATAGGGCCCATCCTCTCTGTATAAGAGGCACCTAGCTGAGAACAGACAGGAGGGTAGAAATTGTTCCCGTACACCACCACCTCCTTGTCCTTGCTGCCTGTTCTTTCCTGGAGGATGACAGAGACCTTAGACTGAATAAAACACAGCTTCAACCTGTCTGGAGTCCTGAAGCCTGGCTAAGCATGGCAAAACTAGTACATAACAGCCTATCTTAAACCAAGTTGTAAAGGTTGGCTGGATTCTGAACTGACGCTGTACCACCAACCTCCCGGATTCCATGGTTGGCTGTGCTTTTGTGTCCATTTTCATTAAAACCAACTCATGGCCTGGTCAGAGGAGCAGCAGAAGGGTCCTAAAGGGTTCCATCTGAAGTGATCATCATTTCTCTTCCTTGATGGATCTGAGAAACTTTAGGCAGCCCACCAAGACTCAGAGAGAAGCCCTCTGATCTCTGGAAGGTCCTATTTTATCAGTCTGAGAGACCTCAAGCTGGGTGACTGGAAACTGACATTTATTTATTTATAAAATTTGTATTTATTTATTTATGAAATTTGTAACTGTGGAAATTAGCCTTAGAAGTTGTAGACCCATTACTATTAGCTTTATCGTCCTCCTAAGACATACCCCGAGGCATCCTCCAGATTGAATCCTATTGTGCTTTGCAATAAACCCATAATTGATAATGCCACGGAGCTTTAATATGGATGGAGAAATGAAATCTAGAAAGTAAATACATTCAGCATTTTGCTAGCAGGCTGAATTTAAAACTGATTTTCTGAACCTACCAGGATTATTCCTCCTCAGTAATGATTTAATTTGAGTGAGCCACCCTGAGAGCTCTTGTGGGTGCGGGGAGGGAGGACAAGTGTAGCCTGGTTTCTCACAGGGGCCCCTTAAAGAACTTTATCCTGCATTTTGCACCTGTAAGTTTGTGAAGATAAAATTAAACTCTGAAATTATACATGATGGGCCAGTATATAACACAGGCATCCAGGCCCTGGCTGCTGTTCCAGTGTCCTGATGTAATCACCTGTCACTAACTCTGGTAGCAGAGGGACACTGATTTGGTTCGCTTCCACAAGTTGAGCACTTATGATGTGTTCCTACATGAGGTGGGTAGCAGCAGAGAGGGACAGGTCAGAGAAAGGAAGGCTATATTCATAACTCCTGGCCTGGAGAGAGCCACTCTGGCTGCAGGTGTTGGGAGAGCCTCCATAGGAGGTGGTCTGTCTGGCTGCCTCTTAGGAGAATGGAGCCCTGAGAAAATCCATTTCACTTGACTCCTAATAGACTTGCAGGAAGACAGGAGAGGAGAGGCCAGATTGCCACCCTCTCTTGATCACCAGCCATCAAAAAGAGGGTTAGCAGTCAGCTATCCACTGGATGGGATTGTGTGGTTCAAAGTGTGAATTCTGGAGCCAGACTGCTTAGGCTCAAGTACTGGCTTATCACTTGCTAATGGTGTGAACTTGGAACAATTGTGTACCCTCTCTCTGGGCATCAGTTTCTTGAATTGTGAAAGTGGGATGTGGAAGATTCAGTTGCCCAGGAAGCCAATCCTAAGATGGAGACTGGCATGCAGGAAGGTTATTAGGACACACTCTCCAGACCAACACTTGTGAAAGGGTAGGAAGCAATGCAGGTCAATGGAGAACTACAGATGTAAAGGAATCACATCAATGAATGCCTCAGCAGACCTCCCTCTTGGGGGAATCTGACATTGGGATGATCCAGGGTTCGGGTGCAGAGTTGGGCCTTTTTACTCCTGTATTGATCAGTAATTGCATGGGGGTTGCTGACTCTTTTAAAATCAGACATTCCTGAAGAGACTGATAGCTTAGGGCCATCTGTAGACAGCCATCCCAGCAAGAAGGTGGGGAGAGGAACAGAGAAAAAGAAATTCTTGTTCATAAAGAGGCTGAGGGAGTTGGGGGAGGCATACAGTTTCCACTGCAGTCCATAAATACAAGAACCAACTACACAAACTTAGGTGGCTTAATATGCACACAATATTGATGACAGCAGTGTCTGGAACACAGTAGGTGCTATGGAAGGAAGTGTTAGCTGTTTTTATTATAAAGTGCTCAGCCCTCTTCCCATTTAAAGAACCCAGACAATCGGCTATAACAGTGTGGGCAATTTTATGGAGAGAGTGCATAAGAGTATAAGAGGAAACCTTAAGGAGTGGCAAGCTTTTGTTCTGGGTTCAGCTGGCCTTCATTTATTCCTAGCACTCATTGTGAGGAGAAGCAGGCTCTGTATGTGGGGGGACACTGCTAACAGAGATGACATGCTTCTTTCCTTTACTAGTTCTGGGTAAAACAATGAAACAGGCCAAGGTGATGTATTCATTTGTGTGGGCTGCCATAACAAAGTACCACAGGCTGGGTGGTTTAAGCAACAGAAATGCATTTCCTCACAATTCAATGGGGTGGAAGTCCAAAATCAAAGTGATGGCAGAGTTGGTTTTTTCTGAGGCCTCTTTCCTTGCCTTGTGGAGGGCTGCCCTTCACTGTGCATCCTGTGTCTTGCATGTGTACTCCTGGTGTCTCTCTCTGTGTCCAAATTTCCACTTCTTATAAGGACATCAGCCCTATTGGATAAAGGACCTACCCTAATAGCCTTATTTAACTTAATCATATCGTTAAAGGCCTTGTGGCCAAATACAGTCACATTCTGAAGTACTAGGGATTAAGGCTTCAACATGTGAATTTGGTAGGGGGGAACACAGTTATTCCCCTATTTCCTCATTTGGAATCTGCTCACCCCCTCCAGCTGCACTTCCTTACCTCATTCCACTCCTCTACTCCTCCCCTGCCCCCACCACCAAATGCTCACCTGGCTATGCTCTAACCCTGCTAGGTCCCTTTGTACTTCCTTCCTATCAGTGCTTACCTGTTTATTGTCCCATTTCCTCAGAGCTATGCTGGATGCCTAGTTTGCTTGTGACTGAAAACCAAATTATACTAAGGTATAAATGGCTGAGTACACTAACCTGGATTTTAATTGTATTTTTACAATAAAGATACTTCTTGTGGTGATAATTTCATGGGGTGTGGATGACTTTTGTTGATGGGTGAATGGTAAGACATTTTAGAGCTGGTGACAGGTTTGGACTTATTGGCTAAATCACACTGAGATTTTGTCATCTAGCCCCGGGCTTCACATAGTTAAAGGTGCACAGGAATCCCCTTGGGGTCTTGTTAAAATTCAGATTCTGAATCAAGAGGTCTGGGTGAAGCCTGACATTCTGCATTTCTAACCAGCTCCCAGCTGCTGCTGATGCTGCTGGTCCAAGTGCCACACTTTGAGAAGCAAAGGCCTAGACCACATGTTTGTAATTTGGGATGTCCCCTATGGCTCTGCCCTCAGTGGCTACAATTGCTCTGGCTTTGGGTCATGAGGGTCTGTCTCACAATGCTGAGGGGGGTTTCTGGAGAGAAGGGACCTCAGAGACCTCCACGTCTATGGATCCAGTCCACATTCTTCTCCTTCAGTGCAGTCTTGGGTAGGGAGGAAGGGTGAATTTGGGCAGAAGGGAGCAATGGCACAGGAAAAAAGACAGGATCTCTCAGTTGAGGAGGTTGTAGGGAATATTTCATGAGAAAGTAACCAGTATTTCAAAGGAAGGAGATGATGGAAGCTTCCACAAACCACGTGGACCAAAAGCAGGTGTAGTCCCAGGGGAGCCATGAATCTACAAGCCACAGTGGCAGATCTGGAATTGTGGAAAGAAATGGGGGTCTGGGAGAGCTGGCCGACAATTACCAGAAATAGGCTGGTGGTCTGGGCAATGTGGGTGGGCCAGCAGAACTTCAGGACCATGAGGAGATAGACATTCCCCCCATGATCATCACATTTGGAAGGATTTTGCAACTTAGCTATAATTATTGTATAATAATTCACTCATTTCCAGTTTTTAAAATAAAAAGAAATACAGTTATAAAACAGGGCTTCTGATTAGCATAATCTAAAGTTTTCCCGTATTTATTCCAGCGAAGATGTATGCAGTGCCAAAGCAAAGGTATTTGACTTGTGAGTTGCCTGGTGGGCTTCTCACAGACAAACACATGGTTTACCATCTGGATTTTGGAAATACTGACAACAGTAGATGCCTTCCCATTACTTACCTCCTCTGTATCCTGAGTCAAGGGATGTCAAGCTAGCCAAACTGACTTAGCACAAGACTCATTTTAGAGATGACCAAGTTTGTGCCCAGAAAAGGTAAAAAAGGACCCTTGGTCCCTGTTGAAAAAGAAGAACAAAGCAGTGGCATGCTAGGCAGGATGAAGGGCAGGCCAGATCTCTCCCCTGAACCAAACAAGGAACAGTTATTTAAGCCCTCTGTTTCTAAATGTCAGATGAAGTTCAGAAGACATAAGTTCCACTAAATAAGTCTTGATTAAGCCCCTGTTTTGAGGAAGGCAGAAACTGTGGTTGACTCTGGAAGATAGGGATGACCAGCACAGGTTTCTGCCCCAAGAGCCCTAAGTGTGAGTTAGATTGGCAAGGCTGACATTGAGCCCACCCTGAACCACATCACTTCAGGACACATAACTCTTTGATAAGGCTTTTTTATTTCCTCTAAGATTTTTCTGGATATCAACCCAAAATTCCACTCTCCACTCATGCATTCACTCACCCACCACTTATTTTTCATCCATCCACTGTCTTACAACCACTCCTATATCCAATCCACCTATTCACCACCCATCCACCTATTGGTCCACCCACTTGCCTCCCATTCTATATCTATGCATCCACTGACCATCCATCCAATCACATGCCCTCTATCTGACTATCAGCCACCAC